CATTTCATAAATGCAGGCTCTGTAAAAGGGGTCAGGGCTCTGCTACTGTACCTTGTCCAGGGACTGCAGAGCTTGGCCCACGTTTTGAAATAATTACCTGGGCAGCCACTGCGCTATCACAAAGCAGTCCTCAGTAAGGTCAGTCCTGTGTGGGCAGGTGCTGTTCTCCTATTGTTCATTTGTCTGGTTTAATTCAGCTTGTTGCCAGGACATGTAAGTGTACTTAAAAAAAAGAGAGAGAAAACATGCAAAAATAGAGCTGGTTCAGTTTGTTCACATTCCAAATGTAGATGAATTAGCATTCTGCAAAAAAGGAAAAGAGTGGGTGAAACGGTGTGAATTCTTTTTCCAACTTCGACCACTTACAGAACAAGTTGAATTTTGAAAATGTGAACATTTCTGTGGCTTTAACTCTGTGGACTTTGGTCTTTTTTTCGTATTAGCTGAAAAGGAAAAAAACCAAAGGAAACAAAGTTTTTCTACTCCCACTCCTCCCTGTGGGATCTGTTTTTCTAAGACACAGATGACATCAAGAAAGGGATGATTTCCTTATTACATAGGCATTTTTCACTTTAGCACCTTTCATCTGGAATTAAAAACAAATAGCTCTGTGGGCATATGAATGTATTGATGTCTCACAGTTGAATCTCCCCTTGTCTGACAAGCATGCATCCTAACTGAAGCTTTCCCTGCAGTAAAGACACTCATAATTCCTACGCTCTACGTCTAATAATACATCTGAGCTTGTGCTTCAGTCTCTTTCTGTGGGGCAGCAATACTCTGTCTCCTAGCTGGACAAGTCTTTTCCTGAAACTTATAGAGACCTAATTTTTTTGGAACCCTAGTCTTGCTGAAATTGGCCCAAATGATCAGAAGTTATTGTGCCTGTGCCTCTGCGTGTGTGTGTGTGTGCGCGCGCGTGTGTGCGTGAAGGATTGTAGGCAGACCCCATAATCCATTTCCTCAGTTCCTTAGAAAAACAAGCTAAGAACAAGAGTAAGAGTATTACTGGACAAGAAAAAAAATCCTGTTCATGAACACCCTGAATACGACAAAATGTCCCTAACAGGAAATGCAGGCCTTTTCTATACCTGAGAGATTGATCTTTCCTTCACTCTATTCCACGTTTAAAAGAAGCCTCAACTCCGCCACTGTGTGGCAGAGCTGAAAAAAGAAAATGAAAAAAAATCGTCAACCGCTCACTCACTCACCAGGATGGGGAGCTGATCCCACCACATGAGAAAACAACAGCTCAGCACTGTGGTCAAGATTTTCACATGCAGGGACTTGCACCTAATGATTTCCACCACCCAGATCTTAATCCGCGCTGGAAGAGCTGGCCTTCTGCAGAACCATTTGGGGCTTTCTCAAAGAATGTGGACAGTTATTTGGGTTTGCCTAAAGGAAGGCTATCTGCAGAGACACATCAGGTTTGTAAAGGTCGGAGTCACTGGCCCCTGTAGCCTGGTGAACTGAACAATGTCTGATGTCGCTCCCGTGGAGGAGTATCATACCCCCGAAGAAGCATGCAGGTCAGACCATGGTGGCTGATGAGCTAAACCAGCGCTGTCCCTCCACCCTCTGCACACTTCTGAAAGTCATAAAGCAGTATTTTTGAGCATCTCCCTTCACAAGAGCAAGCATAAGGAAAGGGAAAAGGGCAGAATCAGGAGCTCTGTTCATTTGTCAAGATCACTTGGAGCCATTTCATGTTTGGCTGGTTATTAAATCTCTTTATTCCATTCTGAACCTTGAAAGACAGGGCAAACACTACTCTCCACAGCTTGGAAGTGCTGGGCTGCATAGGCTGGAGGATGAATGCATAAAAGATATGGCCAAGGTCTTCTTGTTCTCAAATGCCTCAAAACTTTACAAGGAAACAAGAAAATGTCAGTGTAATAATAACGGAGATAAAAAAGTAATTTACAGTAGTTACTACTCTTAAAATAATTATTGGTAACAAGTGAAAGGAGGTATGCAGCCATACTGCTTTGGGATCGTTCAAGCTGTTTCCATAAGGAGCTTACTGTGCCTTTGAAACTAGTCTTTAATTACAGTGAATGCATACCAGTTCCTTTCTCCTTGAATATGGGAGCATTAAATGACAGAATTATTTCTCCTATCTCACAGTTCCTAACTTGCTTTCCCAGGTGGGACTTGGCCCCAAAAGAGCTCTCTTGCTGTATCATCTAAGGGCCATGTAGCAACGGCTTCTATTGTTGCCTGTGTTCTGTCATGTTTTTTCTCTTTCTGTAATCTGCACACAGATTAAATCAAATTCATCCCCAAGTCCTCCATTCAGGCTAGCGAGTTGCACCTGTCTGGACAGCACTGAAGAGAAGAACATTTAATTGTTGTTTAATTCTTCAGCATGAATAAAAAGTGGGATCACTTATTCCTGAATGCATCTTACATTATCAGGATGTGTGCTGCTCTGAAGAGCTCCTAACATCTCATTACTGATGCACAACAAAGTATCAATAACAAAATTCCAAAAATCCAATTATCACTAAAATAAAATGGAAGTGAGCTGTGCTGTATGCAGCAAATTACTATTGAACCCCGAATCAATGAGTAACAAGCTTCAGCATGCCCTTAGTAATGTGTCAGCGTTCATATTTGAAAGGAACATACACATTGTACTACAGAAAAGTTGCCAAAACAGAAAAAAAAAAACCCATCTCCTGATTTATTCGTTTTCCTGCACTGTTCTAATGGCTGCTGCAGACCAGACCTCTCCACCTGCCAAGGCCCTAAATTGTGGGATATTAAATTATGGCAAAGGAAAAAAAAGGATCCAGACAGAAAAGGAAAGGTGACTTGTATTATCACAGCCTCTCCTGATCAAGACCTGGAGGAGCCTTTGTGGGAGAGAAAGCACATGCATATAAAAAGAGGAAGTTCCTTGCCTCAAAAGGCTTAAGCTATCAATAGGCTGCAGTAAAGTGAGGTGGGATTTATGTGCTTATTACCTGTGACCTTTTTTTGACTTCTGCTTGAAAACTACTTATTTCTGCCATAGCTGACTAGCAACGTGGAGGGGGGAAATCAGGGCTTTGGGAGATGGAAGTCTGTCTTCTCTGCGACCTCATACAGCAGTTTCTGCTTATGGCAATGGGCCACTACCTGCCCTGAGCACCCAATGCTCCTTCACCATTTAATGGGCAGGAAGTGGTGGGCAGGGGCATAACATAGCCATAGCATTTGTTGCAGGTGGGCTTGTTTAGCTATTTGCTCTCCAGCTGTGAGAGGAGGCAGGAGACATAAGTGTCCATGCACCGTACAGGGAAGGCAAGCAGCCACCAAGGGCCCCTGACCATCCAAGGCACAGCCCCAGCTCTCTGTGGAGACGCCCTCCTCTGAGCAGCAGCAAAGGGAAGCAGAAGCTCCCTCCTGGGCTGGGGGGCTCTCTCCAAACTTCCTTGCTCCAGGGCGAGGTTCGGAGCAGCGCATGCCATGAGCAGAGCCCTCTCGCCCTGGTGCCTCGCTGCCATGGTTCTGCCACCTCAGAAGACCGTTAAGAGCGGTACAGTGTGAGGTGGTGGGGGAAGGCTCCCGCCTCCCCCATTGGCCGAGCCCAGGGTCTCACGAGGCTTTGCTCGAAGCTCCCGCCTCCCACAACTCGACGCCCTA